GCTAAAGAACGGCACCTTTGAAATAGCAGCAGTCTGACATCTGGTTATCTACCCAAAGACCTGCATTTGGGCTTTATTTTTAAATATCCATTTAATCTGGCAGTCTGAACCCTTTTCGTCAACTGAACTCTTTCATCCTCTGAGAAAATATCCCACTGGACTAGGCCCTCCTTAAGAGTCTTATCTTCCTTCTAATCTATGTAAATTTCTGTAGGGGCTATCTTGTGTGAAATAGAGTAAAAATTTATTTTACATAGTTTCTATTAAATGTTAAAGAAAACATAAAGAAAAAAGAACATAGAGAAATAGGAAGTGGGGAGAAGTTTTAATAATTCCCCAAATTATATATTCTGTGTTTTCAAAAATATTTCAATATATATGCTAATTTGTTTCATTTATACTGGTAGGTTCTCTTAGTTCACTGAAAAGAAAGCTTTGTACTATTATCTATTTGCTTCTTTTTTGTAAAAGTTGTTTTTGCCTGTGACTTGTACACTAACATTTTGGCCACTCTTTTAAGATAATAGTACACAGTATATTAACTAATGTTATTCTTTAATTAATTTGTTATGAAGTTATGCTTTATTTTTCATAGAAGTAAGTTGTTTTAAAAATTCCTTCATTAATATCTACTTGTATTACATTGAAATAAAAAATTGTACATATTTAAGACTTACAATGCATTGCTTTGATATGCACTGTGAAATGTTGATCATAACTAAGCTAATTAACATGTCTGTTCATATAGTTACCTTTTTCTCAGCACATTTAAAGCACACTGCACTGTATTAACTATAATCATATTATTGTACATTAGAATTCTAAACTTATTCATCCTACATATCTGAAACCTTATACCCTTTGACTGAGATCTTCCACTTCCCCCATTCCAAACCCCTAGTAATCATCATTCTACTCTGCTTCTAAGAGTTTCATTTGCTTAGATACCACAGGTAAGTGAGATCCCGCAGGATTTGTCCTTCTTTGTCTGGCTTCTTTCACTTGGCATGCTACCCAGGTTCGTCCATATTATATCAAAGAACAAATTTCTTTCTGTATATTATTCCATTGTGTACTTTCTTTTCTATTTTTTTGCAACAGGGTCTTGCTATGCAGTTCAGGATGGCCTTAAACTTCTGGCGATCCTCCTGCCTCAGCCTCCCAAGTACTGGGATTACAGGCATGCGCCACTATTCCCAGCTTTGTATATATGCATTTTCTTTATCTGTTGAAACTTCGTTGTTTCCACATCTTGGCTATACATAAGGTTCCAGATTTCTCTTGAGATACTCATTTCATTTCCTTTGGATATATGTCCATATTTGGGATTGTTGCACCACATAGTCCAGTAGTTCTATTTTTAATTCTTTGAGGAGCTGCTATACTGTTTCCCATAGGGTTGTACCAATTTTATACCATTACCTCTAACAAGTGAAATCAAAGGTTTAGAAATCATGCAGGTCGGAGAAGCTGAACTTTGGTCTTATTTTCTTGGTGCCAGGTACCTAAAATAATTAGTTACATAGAATTTATCAGTTGAGCATGTGGAAAGCCATGCCCCTGACCTTGTACCCTCTTGACAAAAGAGCACATTGCATTGTTGAGTGGTGGCAGAGAGCTGTAGTTCTTTAAATTTAAAAGAATATGGAAAACTCATTATTTATAGCATTACTTGAGTTCAAATCCTGATTTTCCACATACTAGTATGCTCTTAGCCAAATTATTCATTTAGTTGCTTATTAAAATGTAAACTTGTTCTTAAATAGTTACATTTACATGGTCAAAAATTCTGACAATAGGATCAGGTGAATCTTTTCAGAAATTTCTAGGCATGTAATTCATGTATTTCACATTTTATACCCAAATAGACTACACAAAATGTTCTTTTTATCTTTATTAATATCTATTAAAATAGTCATCTCTCAATATCAAGGGGTAATTGTTCCCAGAATCCTTGCATAAAGTTGAAGATTAAGTCTCTCATATATAAAATGTTATAGTATTTGCATGTAATCTTCACTCATCTTGTATACTTTAAATCATCTCTATATTATTTGTTTTTGTTTTTGTTTTTGGTACTGGGGATCAAACTCAGGTCCTTGTGCTTGTGAGGCAGGTGGTGGAACCACTGAGCTAAATCCCTGGCCCTATCTCTATATTATTTACAAAGCCTAATACAATGTAAATACTATGTAAATAACTGTTACACTGTATTGCTTAGAAAATAATAACATGAAAAGGCAAGTCTGTATATTTTCAATACAGACACAGATTTTTTTTTCCTGGATATTTTCTATTGGGGGTTGGCTGAATCACAAGACAGACCATAATACCATTGTCTTACAGACTTCCTAGAATATCGACTGTATAGATGTACTTTACTTACTGAAATAGTCTTACTCACAAACTTACGGTTTGTCTTCTGTTTGGGTATATTACAAAAAAAAACCCTTTGATGAACTCTGTTCACTTGTACAAGTTCGATGGACAAAATCCTAGAAGTAGAGCTCCTAGGTCCATGGTTATGGTCATTTTTTATTTTAGTAATATTACCATATCAGGCAAGTTATTTAAGTTGGTGTGATTTGTTCATCTTTGTAAATACTGGACAATAATAACTTTCTCAAAGGATAAAATGAGATGGAGGCACATAAAAGCCTAGTATATAGCAAGGAGGTTGTCGATGAATGTTGGTTTGACTTTCCTTTTCCTGTATTTAGATAACTATTATGAATATTACCAACATTACCAAGACTAGTTTTTATAATGAACACAACCAATATAAAAATTCTGAAGCACTTAAGCACCACTGACTGCAACTAGTAAACTCCCTGGAGGTCAAATATGTTTTTGAGAAGACACAAATTTGACACTAACTCTAAATACCAGTTTCCTATTGAAATAGACTAGATTTGATAAGTACTTCTTAAAAAAAAATATATCCCTAATAAAAGCAAAATGTACTGGACTATTATGACTATTATGTCAATTTTAAAATACATCTTCCAGGGCTTGGGATTTAGCTCAGCGGCGCCATTCCTGCCTGGCAAGTGCCAAGGTCCTGAGTTCGGTCCCTGGTACCAAAAAAATTTTTTTTTAAATAAAATAAAATACATCTTCCAGCCCAGTACAGTGGGGCAAGCCTATAATCTCAGGCACTTGGGAGGCTGAGGCAGAAGAAACACAAGTTCCAGGACGGCCTGGACAATTTAGAGACCCTATTTCAAATTTTTTAAAGGGAGCAGGATCTGGGGATGTAGATCAGTAGTGGAGTGCCCCTGGTTTCACTCAAAAAGGGGAGAGTGTGTGCATCTTCCATTTGTGTCTTTTATAATGCTTTAGTTAGTAGTGCAGATCAATGTTTTCAAGCTGTATGTCAGAGGCTGTGGAGCAGGAAAACATGAGGTTTTGTACAAACCTGGGCGAGTAAAAACTTGCTACTGTTTAAGTAATTTGCTTATTAATAAAATCCAACTATGAAAAAAGCACTTTGACAAAAAGATGGAAAATTTTACACCTGTCTTTCCTCTTAAGCCTCTGAGGCATCTTTAAATTTATCTAGAGTGCAGTGAGAGTTTAATGAGACTCCTCAGAATGAAGCCCCTCAAGCGTCCAGGCCCAGCAGCCCCAGCTGATCACAGCCGGAGGAAACCTCCAGGCTAGTGCCCTCGCGCCGGGAGCCATGGCCGCGCTCCTCTCAGGCTGTTCCTGTGGCACTCAGGACACTCAGCCCGAGCTCGCCCGACCCCCGGCCCCACGGCGAGCCCAACACGGGACACGGATCCCGGGAGGGTGGCTCTTTTGCTGCCAGGGCACAAAACAGTTATTGTCGCCTGTCTCCAAACTTCACGCCGCGGCGAACAGCGCGGGCCGAGTGCTAACCGGAGCAGGAGCTCGGTTGGCTCGACCAGGGTCCCCCCAGCGCGGCTCTCCACACCCCCAAACGTGTCCCGCGGAGCGGCCGGGGCGGAGGCTGGGCTC